GTGTGTTGAGGTGTGTGTGTGTGTGTGTGTGTGTGTGTGTGTGTGTGTGTGTGTGTGTGTGTGTGTGTGTGTGTGTGTTGCCCTACAGTTCAGAGGTCTATTAGCCCAGCAGGAGTAAGATAAGATTATCCCAGAGGAATGCAGAGTATGAACACAGACTCCCTCACACATGCTCTGTTCAAGTCACTCTAATAGTAAGTAATTCAGAATTGATTTCCATCAACTGTACAGCCACAGCTTCTTTGGGACTGGTCAAACTGAATGTCTCATGAAAACATATGATTTGTACCTGGTTCCCAACAGTTGCTGGTGTCAATATGAATAACAATATAAATTAAAGCCATTTTAAAACATCTGTCTTCCAAAGTCAAGGAGTGAAACGTATGGTTAAATCAGCTTACATGAATTAACTCAAGCTAAAACTTAACAGACTTTATCTACAAAACCTTTGATGATCTTACAGTATATTATGCCCAATAAGATTTTCAAGGCCTTTTTTTGTAACATAGTATTTCTCATTGTGCTATTGCTACTTTTATTTCAGTACAGCATCTGATTACTTCTGCCATTACGGGTTTTATCCTCATTATGCATGTTACCTACTTATCAGACTTTGAACAAAGAAGGTTGGTGACTTTCTCTACTGTGCACCTTCTCTGCCATGAACATAAGATGTAGAGGCCACTCAGCTGTCAGAACCTTTCTCAACATCACTATACTGGTATGTGTCAGCGAATCATGTTAACAAGATGGGGTAAAATTCACGCAAACATTAAGGGTATGCCGCATTAGCCATGCACATCCTGCTGACCCCAAGGCTCGTGCACTATCATGTGACCACGAGAAACAAAGGGGCAGTTTCCTTGAATATTTAGGCCATTTGTTTATCTTCCGGTGTAGAAAAGAGTTACAAGCTACATATGAGCAAACACCGTCTTCCCTCTCTGTCTCTCAAATGGAAACGTTTTCCATTATCACATAAAGTGATGTCAGAGCTAGAGTAGTACATCAAAAATTGTTATGCAGAGTAGATTTTTGTTACAGTGTATGAAGCACCCAAATTACCATGCACTTTTGTGTGTTGATTAGCCCCAACCCTGACTGTTACAACGCACACAACACCTTCCATAGATGTGAGCAGAGAAAATTTGGCCAGATGTGTGTGTGTTTGTGGCTTTGCTCCAACCTTATCTGGACAGCAGACAGATGCCACAGTTCAACCACAGACACCGTTTAATATAATATATGGTCCAATTAAAAGTCATCTAATAGTCGTTTGTTTACCTTCTGAGGAAAACTTTTGGAAGGAGGCTCACATTAAAAAAGCACTATACTGTGAGACTTATTTGTCTCTTTATATTGCTTTGTGCGTTATGTTTTTTGTATAGAACTTTTAATATAATTGTTACAGAAAGGTTAAACATCTTATATTTGTATAGCAGCTATCAATAGTTAAGTTGCAGATGTGACTTTGTCCAGTTGTTTTGTAATGAACCTATCTATCTGTCTGTCTAACTTGTATTCCCCACATCGTGTCTTGGACCAGTGTCTAATCCTATAACTCTGTAATTTGGGGCATCTAACAACCATTGCTTTAAAAACACAATAAGAACATGTGTACAAATTTGAATCATTATTCTGACCTTTAACTCTTAAACTGTATATACATTAGAAACATTAAAACTGGATTACAAAAAGAGGGCATTATTAATGTACCATAAAATAAAATAAATAATAGAATAACAAAGGTCAATAGGGACATGATTTAAACCTATGTAGGTCAATTAGGAATAACAGAAAAAAGGGACTGAAACTATGAAGTGGCGCCATCCACTGTGCACATGGTGAGCTGATCCATTGAAGGACTACTCTGAGAGGAACCACTAGGGGGCGACATAAGACCAATAATGTCACGTTTCTGGGCTTTCCAGGTCAGTGGTTGAATCAGAGGTCGGCTGCATTCATTTCATTTGCACAAATAGACAGGGTGTTAGTACCGCTGACAAGATCACATTTGTTTAAGAGAGTAGTATTACTCTGCAGTCCTACACTTGTCACTGACAACAGTGAAATGTGCGACTGAGCTGTATCACATTTCACACAGACAGGTGTGCACATGCTGAGAGGCAGTGTGAGGTTAGTTAAAGAGACTAGACACTACAGTCTATGGTTGTGCCTGAAGCTGGAAAAGGGTTACAGTGTTGTTTCATGCCAGATAGTGTTCTGCCTGACAACCAGGTTATGCTTAACTAATGG